TAGCAGTCTGTCTGCAAGCCACAGGCGAATTGCAGCCTGAAATTACCTGTTCTATGGCTGAATGAGCTGCGGTCAGTCGAAAACAGGGATGGTGACGTCAGCTTTCCAACATGGTGGCTGCTGGCCTCCTCTGTGGTCTGACCGGTGTGGAGAACCGAGATGGACCGCTTCCTTCCCCCGTCTCGAACCCAGAATTCAGCCCTGAGTACGGTGCTTGCGCGGCTGGCAGAAACTGCAGCACTGTAACCCTGCGTCTCTATCCCAGCACGCGCTGCAGACTCTAGCCGCGGGGCGGTTTGCTGAATAAGCAGTGTTACCCTCCGTGCGACAAACCTCTCGCGTTTGAGTCCCCGTAGCCAATCCTTGTGCGATGGAAATCCTTCCTCCAGGTTCCGGAGCACCCCACTATTGCTGGAAATTCCTAACAAGATATCCTTTAGCCGTCCTGACTTGTCATACTCCCACACAGTGAAGCAGCACACGGGGGCAATGCACTCCCCTCGCCGCCATCTTCCTTCCCCCATTATTAATATTTTTCAAGCTTAACATATATTCTTGATACTAATATTGCTTTACCAACTTATATTTTTGTTTCACTTGTTTTTCCAAATTGTGATTTAAAGCACATAACATAAAATTTACCATATTAACCATTTTTATGTGTACAGTTCATTAGTGTAGTATATTTACATTATCATGAAACAGATCTCCAGAAATTTTTCATCTTGTAAAAGTAGAACTCTACACCTATTAAATTTTACAAGATGAAAAAATTTTTTCCCCATCCCCTTTCCCCCAGTATTGTTTTGTTAGTGTTTCTTTTCAGTCTCTTTATTTTGAACCTCTCTTTCTTTATGCTTTTTGTGTAGCTTTTATAAAGAGCTGTTTTTATTTTTTTTAATCTAGCATGAGAATCCTTTAATAATCAAGTATAATTAATATAATTAATAAAAGTTTGTATTTACTATGCTTTTTGTTGTAATTTTCAGTTTTATCTTATATTTTTAAATGTTCCTTCCTTTTTAACCCCTTGCCATCACCCCCTCTTGTTTTCTTCCTTTATTATTATTTTTTCACTCTTGTGGAAGTTGTTCATTCTCTTTCTGTTATTTAGTATGTGCCTATGTGTCTTCAAATATCTATCTTTTGCTTAGTAAAACTTAACTAATCATTAACTCCTCCTTCAGAGCAAGTAATATATGTTGACTGCTTTTACTTTGAACTATTCTTTCTCACCTTCCATATAACTGTTGAGTAATATTTTAGTTTTCTCATTTTTAACCCCTTGAAAATTAGTCGTCATTATCATTGCAGGAATATTTATAGTCAATTTTTGCTAATGTCTTTCTCACCATTTTTCCTTATATCTTTCTTGGTTCATTTTCCTTTTTGTTGGAGTACATTCCTAAGTAACTCTTTCAGTGAGGATCTGTGAGAGGTGTGTCGCATTCCTGCGACTTAAACCCTCAAACCTGCCTACCCAGGGACACTACCTGTCGTGATCCATGTGACTAAAACACTCAGGGTTCACTTAAGGGGAACTGGGCTGTGCAAAATAACCACACAAGACAGAAATACCTTTTTCTTTGGGGGTGCTGTGACAGCTCCTCTGACCTTAAGGGTCTGTAGAGAGAGCGAGCGAGCACGTGCTGACCCCTTTTATTGAGGAGAAGCCATTCAAATGAGGCAAGGGGTCAGGCTTCAGGGGGTCGAGTCTAGCTTCATGATGTCTGCTGTCAGCAGGTTGATTGACATCTAGGAAGGCCACACCCAAGGGGGTGATGGCAAGAGTAAGAGAAGGGGACACACAAAAGGACATTTTCATGGAACATTCTGTCCCAAACTAGACAAGGGGTAATATCACAAAGGAACAGGTGAGCGTAGCTCAACCCATGGGGCTGTAGGAAAGCACGCCCGTGTACGAAGACACATTTGCTTTGTCTCTACCCTCAAGATCAGGGCTACCATCTTCCCTTACTTAAAAGCAACCAGATCACAGGGTGACCGACAGTGCCTCAGCCAACCAGGAAGGGAAGCAAACACTAGTTACATGCTATGTCAGCCTCCCACAAGGTGAATTCCATTTCAGTCTTTTTATGTCTGAAAACCTCATTAAATCCACTCTTTAGTCTTATATGCACATCTGTGGTGGCATCCTAATAGATGATCTCAGCTGGGATCCTTTAGGTACCTTACTTTTAGTCTAGTTTTTATGTTAATCTTTTCTACTGAGATTCCCATACTACATTGGTATTGTGCTTAAACTCTATATTTAAATGCAGGTAAGGATTCAGATTTCTCTTGGGCTAGTCTTTTTCACTTGTGGCCTGAGTCACTTGTCTAGATTTCTTTGAAATCTTTAGCAATTTTTCAGACCATATTTCAAAAACCATTAAGCCCTTTGAGGGCCCAGCATGATATATTGTTCTTAGTTCTAGTTCTCTGCATCATGGGCCTGAGATCTCATCTGGCCAGGACAGGACCACTCTGAAGGCCTGTATCTGCTGCCAGCACCCCTGTATGTCTCAGTGCTCAGTCCTCACTAACCACTCAGGCTTTAGGTTATATTTTTTTTGTTTAGGGTACTTAAGGATTTTCCTTCATTGCTTTGTATATTTGTTAAATTCTTTTTAATCTGTCTTATTGAGCATTTCCACGTGTTCACTGTTGTTCCCTTTGTTAGTACTGTCCAGTGCATGGACCAGAAGTTATCTGGTCATCCTTCTAAACCTTGATATGACCTTATTACTCCCTCACTTGATTTTCAGATTTGTTAGCACTGCTTTATTTATTCATCAAACAAATTTATTCCATATAACCTCTGAGCTACAAACTGGGGATACCAGGTGAGAAAGATAAAGTTTCTGCCTTCGTGAATTTATTATTCTAGTTGGAGAGACAAAAAATAAACTTGTAAGAAAATGAATAAATAAGTTAACCAGGTGGAGTGGTACATGCCTGTAATCCCAGTGACTGGAGGCTGGGACAGGAAGATTGTGAGTTCAAAGCCAGCCTCAACAACTTAGTAAGACCCTGTCTCAAAATAAAAAGGGCCAAGAATGTGGCTCAGTATGGGTTCAATCCCCAGCACCTCCCCACATAGAGAAAAAATTAACTACAATTAATGACAAGTACTCTGAAGGAACTAGAGAGATGGAAAAATCACTGCTTGGGAGGATTACTTTAGACAGGGTAGTCGGGGAAGACCTCTCAGAGGAAGTGCTATTCCTTCTCTGAAGAAGCCAAGATGGGAACCATGAAGAGAGTCTAGCCCTACAAATAGTAGAGGGATTGTTGGGGATTGAGGGTTAATTACAGGCTTTAGAAATAGCCAAGTACAAAGACATCGAGATGGGGAAACACTGGCTTGCTGGAGTAGTTGGGACAACATCCATGAGGTGCCTGGGAGGGGCATAATGCTCCCCAGTGAGGTTAGAGAGGCCTGTCCCCTTACTCCTCATCTTGCCTCACTGATTCTTTCCAGAGAGTTCCTGTGCAAGGTCCCTCCTTTGTAACCCTTCTCAATATCCCAGTTCCTGCTGCACTTTGCTGCTTAACAGAATGTAACATGAACAGTTGTTTATGTGATGGTATTCTCCAGTAGACCTAAAGCTTCTGCTGGGAGAGATTTCTCATCTACCTTTGTCATCCCCAGCTTGTAGAATGGTGCTTTACATGGTAGGGACATCATGAATGTTGATTGAATTACTGTGTTTTAAAAGTAGTTCATGCTTAGAGCTTCTTTTCCAATAACTTTTTAATAAAACCTCTCATAGATAAATTTTTGTGACATTTAAATATCAGGTAAAGAAAACCAGCAAGCTAAGGAAGAATCTGTTGCTTAAGACTTGTCTCTGATACTGGAAAGAAAATCAGGGCAAGTATGGTAGTATGGTGTTGACCTGTAGTGGGTTGATTGGTAGCCCCCCAAAGTTATGTCCACAGCCTAACCCCTAAAATATATGAATGTGAACCTATTTGACTAAAGTGTTTTTGTAGATGTAATTAAGTTAAGGAGCTATGATAAAATCATACTAGACTACTTGAGTGGACCTGAAGTTCAGTGAAGATGCCCTTATAATGAGTAGCCAGAAGAAGACAAGAGACAGAGAAGGCCACTTGAAGACAGGAACAGAGACTAGAGTTGTGAGTCACAAGCCAAGCAACATGTGGAGCCACCAGAAGCTGGAAGAGGCCTGGAAGGATCCTCCTCTAAATCCTTTATTAGGATTGTGGACTTATTGATGCCTTTATTTTTTACTTTTCATCTCAAGAACAGTGAGAGAATGAATTTCTCTTGTTGTAAGGCACTAATTAGCAAAACAGCACATCCCCCTTTCCAGTTATACTGCACTGACTCCTTCTGAGACATAAGACATATAATACCTTCCTCCAAAGCTTATTGCCATGATTAAATGAGATACATTTGTAAAGTACTTATCACATAGTAAATGTTCAGAAGTAGTGATGGTGGTGGTTCTTTAAGGACTGGAAATTTTCTTCCTTTTGCAAATAAGCACTCAACAGTAGAGTGGAAATTTCTGTCTCGTGATCGCCTGGTGAGTCAAAGTTCATCCCATGATTTTAACCTAAGAGTTCAACTTCTGCTTTGGCCCTGGAACTCCCAGGCCCTTGTGCCTTTAACAGACCTTAGTTAGGATATTACAGCAAGGGAGAGTTTAGTGTTCTACTGTGGCTTGGGGAAGAAGTTAAAGTAGAATTCAGAGACCAAATTTAAAATTACACACATGGAGCAGAAAGCCATCTCTCAGTCTCTGCCATAAAGAAAGTCTTTGGGTTCTAAATTTCTAGTTCCCATTAAGGGACTCTGGAACTGGACATTCTTGAAAATTAAAGACCTGTAGTGAGTGATCCTACACACCAATCATCAAAAACTTCCCCATAATGAGGTCAGGCTTTCTGTATTTGTCTAAATTCCAGAAGTGGGTGTGGGTAGGGGTCCCAGACAGAGTGCAGCCTGATGATGTCTTCCTCCCCAGGATGGCTGGCACGGTGCTAGGAGTGGGTGCTGGCGTGTTCATCTTAGCCCTGCTCTGGGTGTTGGTGCTGCTGCTGTGTGTGCTGTTATCCAGAGCCTCCGGGATAGCTAGGTAAGGCATTCTTTCCAGCTGGGAGTCCTAGGTAAAAGAATTAGAGGCAAAATCGCTGACGCTCATTAAACATTTAGAATTCAGAAGATCATTTTTGTAATTACTGGCAGTTTGAATGAGTTGCATTTTAACCTCTTATTATAAGCACTAACTATGTTATTTATGCTCTGAGGCAGAGGTGGGAGGAGAAGGGAAGTGTATTTTTCAGTTCTTACTATGGAGGAGATCAGGGAAGACAAGAGATGACAAGAAAATCTGCTTTCACTGCCTATTGAATCTCTTGAGGTTGAACGTGGGAGTTTTTCTTAATTGTTCAGATTTATGGCACTTGCTTGGTCCAGTCTCTAAGGCTCTAGGCCTGGACCCAGGGAAATGAAAGAAGCCTTCAGTGGATTTAACTGGCCTTCTGCACCTGGCATTGACTTGGAACAGAGTTAGGCTACTAACGGAACCTGAAAATAGAGTTCCACTCTGGACACTCCATTTTAGTGTCAATAGGAAGCAGAGAATTAAGAATTTGCTAAAGTATCCTAAGTGGGAATGGGGAGGGACTGCTTTGTTGTGTTTTCTTAATGACTTCATGCAAAAGCACAAATGAAAACTATGAATTCCCGCTGTTAGGAATTTCCCAGAATAAAGGGGAATGCATACAGCTGGTACCTGTCTAGGAAGAAAGACTTTGGGATAGAGGCTGGTTGTGGACAGCAGGTCTCTGGACTCTGTTAAGGGACTGAAACATAGAATATTGACCCCAAGGAAAGGCCAGTCTGGGCCTCATAAAAGAAAAAACTGTAAACGGTGCTTTTAATACTTTCTCTTTTTGGTCCCAGGTTCTCTGTCATTTTTGTATTCCTTGGTGCTGTGATCATCACGTCTGTTCTATTACTTTTTCCCCGAGCCAGTGAATTTCCAGCCCCAGAGGTCGAAACGAAGGTAAAGCTGTTGGTTTCATTTTGTCCTCTGGTCCAAACCATCATCCTGCCCTGTGACCTGAGATGTGTTAGAATTGCAGTGTTCAGGCAATGATGGGAAAGCTCGGAGGGAATTTTAAGACCCTCTACGCCTTCACTCAGGAAAAGAATCTTCTGAATTCCATCTGTAACACTTCTAGGCAGAGGTTTGCCTGAGATGTTCTCTTCTCCAACTTGCATCAAGTTGAACAACATTGTGTTGTAAGGCCACCTCCTACTGTGGGGACAGAGAAAGAGAAAAGAGTTAGAAATGGGAGTAGTCCTGCTCCCAAAGTGAGGTCCCGTTTCTGGTAGCCTTGGCTCACATCCTCATATCTTGGGTTGAAATTGATGTAGTACCATCAGGGTGCTGAGCAACATGAATTTCCATTTCCATAATGTGGAGAGAATCATTTCCATAGAGAAGTGGGGAAAGAGGAACATTTCTGTGGAAAGCAGAAATGGAAGATATAAATGAATTCAATACTAACAATTTCATTGGTCTACATATGCCAGCTTCCACCTCTGTAAATGGATTCTTATCACATCTCTATACTTCTTTGCTGGAGATCTCACCCATTCCTGAATGAATGGGGTGCTGGTTTAACCATGCACAACTGGTCTCAAACCCCATAGGAACCTGATAAGGTTATTGACTTCATTTGTTCCATTGCTTCTTCCTAATAGCTTCTTTTTTCTCAACCTCTATTTTAATTTTTAAACAGTAATGATGATAATAGCTAACATTTATTAAAGGATTACTGTGTGCTAGGTCCTATGTAAGCATGTTTATACTGTCTCATTTAAACTTCAGGCCAACCTAACTAGTACAAAGTAGGTACTATTACTGTCCTCATTTTATAGGTGAGGACACAGGAGCTGTAGAGGTTAAGGTAACTTGCCCAAATTCATACATATACATTAAGAAGCAGAGCAAAGATTCAAGCTGAGGTCTACCTTCAAAATCTTCATTGTTGGGATTCAGCAGAATATCAGGGGCCAGCCCAGAGAATACACAGGTTACCAATTTGATATTAAACAACAGTACACAGACTTTTGGACTATAGTGAACACATACTTCCAATCTTATATAGAATTAAACCTTGACAAAAGGAAGGAAATTAGTTTCAAAAACTCCAAGGGAATATTACCACACAAATTCAAGGAATTATTTTCATTAATTCCAGGTCTTTTGTTTACATTTGGAAACCACTCTGAAGGTAGAAGTACTGTGTGTGTGAGCCAGGGGTAAATTCTTACCTCAGTGTCCTTACTTAGAGGAGAGAGTGATAAGATTTCTGTGTCGTTGGGGCTGGGGATGTGGCTCAAGTGGTAGCATGCTCGCCTGGCATGCATGCGGCCCGGGTTCGATCCTCAGCACCACATACAAAGATGTTGTGTCCGCCAAGAACTAAAAAATAAATATTAAAAAAATTCTTAAAAAAAAAAAAAAGATTTCTGTGTCGCTACAGAAGTGACTATTAGAAGAAGGCAATAGAGTAAACACTGTTGAAATCAGTCTCTCTCTTTTCTGTCATATGAGTTTCAGACTCAGGAGAGAATGGGGTTTGAGCAAAATGTGTTTGTCAGCATAGCCAGCAGAATGGAGTTCTCATTTTCAGGTCTTGAGAGCTGGCCCCTGCAGCAGCCAAGCTCAATACTGTATCAATAATACATGGCCTGGGCCTTCTGCACCCAAGGCCTGCTAATTGGCTAATTAAAAAGTGAAACAGTCGAACGAGCAAATATGTAGCCCGCAAGAGACTTGTTCAGTAACAGAGCCAAGGTCAAAGTTATGTTAAAGCTGTTTTATCAAACTGACCTTTGTTATAAGTTGACTGTTGGGGTAATCTCTGGAGTAGCTGGGGTGTCTGAGTCTTCTTCTTTTTGGTGTCTTTGGATCTCAGCAATCACACCAGAGCTTGGATTTTGACAGGTGCTTTGAATATCAGCACTGTATTAGTTTCCTATTGCTGCTGTAACAAGCTACTATAACCATAGGAGCTCACAACATAAATTTATCATCTTACAGTTCTGTAGGTTAGAAGTCCAAAATCAGTCTCACTGGGCTAAATAAAATCCAGGGTTCAGCAGGGCTGCATTTCTTTTTAGAGATTTTAGGGGACAGTCTATTTTCTGGCCTTTTCCTGCTTCTGGAGGTTTCCTCTGGCCCTTAGCTGGTGGCCTCCTTCCTTTACCTTTTTTTTTTTTGGGGGGGGGTGTCCTGGGGATTGAACTCAGGGCATCAACCACTGAGCCATATTCCAGCTCTGTTTTTTTTGTATTTTATTTAGAGACAAGGTCTCACTGAGTTTTGCTGAGGCTGGCTTTGAACTTGTGATCCTCCTGTTTCAGCCTCCTGAGATACAGGCATGTGCCACTGCACCAGCTTCTTCCTCTATCTTCAAAGCCAACAGTAAACATCTCTCTGACATTGCTTCCATCCTCACACCTCTTTCCCTGACCCTCTTTCCTGCTTCCCCCTCTAACTTTCAAGGGCCCTTGTGGTGACATTGGGCCCACCTGGGTAATGCAGATAACCCTGTTTTCAAGTTCATTTGGTTAGTAACCTCAATTCTCCTTTGCCATGTAATCTAACATATTCAAAGCTTCTAGGGATTGGGATGTGGACATCTTCAGACCATTTTTTTTTTTTTTTTTTTTTTGCCTATGGCAATCACTGCTTGGATATTTTGGGTTCTCTCCTAGATATGAGTTTTCAAGGCTTCTGTGAAGTCAATCACTGCTGTCATAAAATCTATACATTAAATAGGTCTTTTTCTGCCTAAATTCAAGTACCGCCATTTGGCTCTGGGAAAATTGGGGCTCTGGTAGTACGTAGAACACCAGTGAATAGAGCCAACATCGGTTATAGCTATTTTATTTTTATTCTTTTAGTATTGAGGACTGAATCCAGGACCTCCAGCATGCTAGGCAAGCACTTCACCTACAGCCCCAAATGCCCCCACCTTTTTAAAAATTTTGAGACAGTCCACACTCATACTTGCAGTCCTCCTGCCTCAGTCTCCTGAGTAGCTGGGATTTATAGGTGTGTGCCACCACACCCAGCAGTTACAGATTTTTGTCAACAAAGACCAGGAACACTGGGGCCTCAAGGACTGGTAGCATTGGCGAGACCCTTGGTTCAATCCCCAGTACCACAAAAGAAAAGAAGAAAAAGGAAAGCAGAATAAGAAAGAAAGAATTGGGGCCTCAGGTATGTCAGGTTACCAGGGAGCCAAATGTATGATGGAGCAAGTTACTTATCTTCTTAATGTTTTATCTTAGGCAAATGACCATTTGCCTTCTCCTCTGAGAAACTAAATGTTAGGGTTCAGAACTCATCTGATGAAAACTTTGAAGAGTCACCTTTTTATTTGAAAACGAACCCCTCTGAAAGCAGTAGGTTGATGGCTGGATCATATATATATATATAAAAACATGGTGTATACACCATGTTTTTTTGTTTTGTTTTGTTTTGTAGTTGTAGATGGACAGAATGCCTTAGTTTTATTTGTTTCTTTTTATATGATACTTAGGATCAAACCCAGTGTCTAACATGTGCTAGGCAAGTGTTCTGCCACTGAGCTACAGCCCCAGCTCTACACCAAAATTTTATACTATTGTATTTTAATATAAGTTCCAAATTCTCCATAATAAAATATGTTTTAACAACAACAACAAAAAAATGACTCTTTCTAGACCAAGCTAACTTCTCATTAACTCTTTGGGATAACTGGTTCCAATGATCTATTTATAGAGGGAACTCAGTTACAAATATGAATGAACAACTGCTGATGAACTTACTATAGATTTTGGATCAACACAGCCAGGATGCTGAAGGGTAATAATTTCACTTTGGTGTTTTCTTTCTCCAGATTGTGGATGCCTTTTTCATTGGGCGCTATGTCCTGCTGGCTTTCCTCAGCGCTGTCTTCCTTGGAGGTCTCTTCTTGGTTCTAACTCATCATATCCTGGAACCAATCTATGCCAAACCACTGCGGTCCTATTGAGCATTGTTGGGGAAAACCAAGACCCTGTTCTCCTCTGCTCCATTTTTATGACATTGATGAGCAACAGGGACTTCAGAGCCTTATTTTGACAGTCTTCCTATTTGAAGGCAGAGGAATATATATTCATCACTAAGACAAATCTCTTGAGCTCTGGCTCCCAGAAACAGGGTTGCAAAATTGTCCCCATGGGCATCAATTCTCACCGTTTTAGGAGGGCTGCTACTGTCTTCTTAGTACCTGCACTTAGGAATTTCATCTGTTTTGAAAGGGAAATAGTAATAATCATCTTAGAGTAGATTTTCAGTCATGCTATTTATAAGTGGACTTGGGGGGAAGGATGAGCCCTTTTTGATAATATGTGAAATTCTTAGTTATAAATTATTATCATAGCTGGGTGTGGTGACACATGTAATCCCAGCTACTCAAGATGCTGAAGCAGGAGAATTGCAAGCTTGAGGCCCACCTGAGCAACTTAGTGAGACCCTGTCTCAAAAATTTTCAAGAAAAGGCTGGGAGTATAACTCAGTGATAGAGTGTTCCTGGGTTCAGTTCCCAATACCAAAAAAGAAAAAAAAGTTGTAGTTATTTGCAAAGTAAAAGCACTTAAACACAGAGGTTACTTTAATGTGATAATTTGGAAGACTAATTTAGATGTTGGTTATTGACCACCCTATGCATATAATTTCACAGAAGCCTATAAAAGCAATGGGTATTACTTTCCTCTGCTCTAATAAAGCAATAAACAACCACCAAGGGGCTGACTTTCACTTCAAACTCTTAGCCATGTAGTGAAGCATTTGTATTTTATTTTCAATCTGTAAGGTAGTATTTTTATATTTCAAACTTGTTTGGAAATTAGAGGACAGGTAGGAAAATGTTGGTAGACTGTACTCCTGCCATATATCTGTAGGTTCTTTTCCAGGATATGGTCCCTCTGTGTGCTTTTACATTATCTTAACGGACCATTTTAGGTTGTGGTACTCTCTCCCCATCTTTGTAACTCTTTCTTCAACCCTAATCAGGAACATATATTATCAGCATTAGATTATAACTTTATACGTGCCTGATCTCCCTGACCAAGTAAAATTTGTGCCTAAATGGAGGGTCACTTTAGGAAGTGTCATCCTGACACCCTAGATCTGTTTAGAAAATGGTCTTCTGGCTTAAAATGAAGACCCAAGAGAACAAGTTGGAAAGATTGATTAGGTATGTGTTATATGCCAGTAGTCTGCTAATACCTTTGAAGTTTATTTAAGTTTTACAACAATCTGTCATCATCACCCCCCACTTTTTGTTGTTGTTGTTGTACTGGGGTTTGAATCCAGGGGTGTTCTACCACTGAGCTACGTCTCCAATTCTTTCTTTTTAATTTTATTTTAAGACAGGTTCTTACTAAATTGCTGAGACTGGCCTTGAACTTGTGATCCTCCCTCCTCAGCTTCCAGAGTTACTAGAATTACAGGCATGCATTACCATGCCCAGCCATCCCCATTTTAAAGTAGAAAAAAAAAATCTGAAGCTTAAAGAGATTAACTGACTCATTTGAGCTTCATACAACATCCAGTGTGCAAACCCAGGTGTGGCAGACTCCTAGGCCTGTTTGCAGCAAAGTCAAGCCCACACAAGAGGAACATTGACTCCTCCATTTGCCACCTTCTCTTTGTGTGTGTGTGTGTACACACACACACACACACACACACTTTGTGCAAAGTGTATTTCAGCTAGGCCTGCCTTCTGTAGTCTGTAATTGCCAGCTATGGTGAGATGAATGATACATTACTTTCTCGCTGCATACCCAAGGTATTCATGTCTAACCCTAAAAACAAAACAAAATAAAAAACCACCACAGGTTTAGTCCCAGAAGTGGAAGGCTGAGAGCACACAATGAATTTCAGACTTTAGCATTGGGGTGCCCCTATCATCAGTGTCTCATATGGCACCTCTTATATCCATGGCCTCCTGGAAGCAGGGCTCAGAGCTCATCCCTTAAATACGAAAAGAAATCATTTTTAGTGCTCATTAACCGGTCTCTGATCAGTGGCCTTAGGGCAGGTTATGCTGTTCTGGTCTCTGTTCAGAGATTGCAGTGATTCCCCACTGTTTGGAAGGTGGTAAGGGAGAGAAAACAGGTTATTTCATAGCCTTTCAGAATTGAATCCTGACAAGTTAAGAGTTTAAACACTAAATCAAACTGCCTGACTTCAAATCCCGATTCCTGGTTATTCCTGAATGATCTTTTTTTTTTTTTTTTTTTTTTTTAAAGATAGAGTGAGAGAGGGAGGGAGAGAGAGAGAGAGAGAATTTTTTAATATTTATTTTTCAGTTTTCGGCGGACACAACATCTTTGTATGTGGTGCTGAGGATCGAACCCGGGCCGCACGCATGCCAGGCGAGCGCACTACCGCTTGAGCCACATCCCCAGCCCCCCTGAATGATCTTGAGCCTCATCAGTCTGTGCCTGTTCCCCACCTGTGAAATGGGGACATTTAAGAGGACCTACTCATAGGGCTGATACATGATGACATAAGTTAGTACTTACAGTGCACTTAGAAAAATGCCTAACACATTTACTAATCTAAAAAATTCTGATTTCCGCATTCAAATGCACTTGTTTCCATATTGTCCATGACACCACTGTGCTCTTACAGTAGAGATGTTTGTTCATTCCATTAGGTGGCGCTGTGTGTTATGTTTTAGAAGTTTCTCAAGCCAGCAAAACACACTGGGTAATTACTTAAGTTCCTTAAACTTGTCCCTTATAAAAATGGAAGTAAAGCTAGCACTCTTTTGATACAGGGTATCAGATATTTAATGTTAAGACTGCATGAGCAGTACTGTATTGCTGTTCAGGGACTAGGCACAACCATTCCTTCACACATACCACACATATTGCCATTGGTCAACACTGATCCAACGCCTGTTGGGCATAAAGTAGTGGTCCTGGTGGAGTAATTCAATCAAAGCACCAGCTCTGAGGTGTTTGGGCTGTTTTCCTAACTTGATCTCAGGATGGAGGTATTCCAGTTATTTTTAAATGTTTTAATTCTAACAAAGTAATCCATTTCTTTTTGTTCTTTAAGACATTGACTTTGCTATCACTCTACTTCATTGCTGCTATAGTGAAGCATTTGTATTTTATTTTCAATCTGTAAAGAACCTGTTGCTGTTACTTTACAGATGAGAAACAGGCAAAGAGGAAAAAGGATTTTAAACGTTTCGCAGCTAGTTAGTAGCGGCACTCAAACTTGACACACTAGCCCAACCTCCCACTGGGTTCCTAACAATTCATTTCTCATTTTAAAGATCATTTTTGGCTTTCAAACAACTCCTTATTTTTACACTGGTTGATACTATAGTTATCTGTACCTGCCATTTCCCTAAATCATGTCCAAAGGTTAAAAGTTCCATTAATGAATGCTAATTAACATTGATAGTATAAATAACAAACATTTTATTTTAACTCCTTGGCTTAAGTCTTTAAGTGTTTGGCTGTTGTTGCATAGAAACAAATTTCCAGATGTGAGAATCAGAACCATATGGAAACAAATCTGGAAAAGTGTTGATTATCCTCATAGGAGCATAAAAATTCAGGACTGGAAGGGATTTTATAATTCATAGAGTTCAACCTTTAATCTCTAGATCCATCCCAAATCTTGGAAATAAGTGCATTTGACATGCTGAAATCACATTTTTTATTAGATTAGTAAATGTGCTAGGCATTTTTCTAAGTGCATTGTAAGTACTAACTTATGTCATCATGTATCAGCCCTATGAGTAGGTCCTCTTAAATGTCCCCATTTCACAGGTGGGGAACAGGCACAGACTGGTGAGGGAGTTGGCTCAAGATCACTCAGGAGTAACCAGGAATCAGGATTTGAAGTCAGGCAGTTTGACTTAGTGTTTAAATTTTTAACTCCTTCCTATTATGCTATGTTGCTCCATAAAATGAGAACAGGAAAAGGAACCAGGGTCAGGCAATGCAAATCTGCTTGATAAAAACACCAAGGAAAAGCAGCTGAGTGTGGTGGAAAATCCAGAACCTTAGGAGTTGGGCAACAGTCTGGGGCAGAGCAGTTAAAAGACACATGGGACCTCAGAGACAACTTCACTGGTCAACCTTGCATTTTGGGAATGTCTCACTCTATTATGCTGAGGCTTCCTCCTCGCTCAGAAATACTAAACAACTGAGCAGCTAGTAGATGAAGGACACTGTGCGTAAATGTTACATAGCCAAGCCCTCTGCTTGTTTTTAAGCTGGAGATTTCTTTTCTTTTTAATATTTATTTTTTTAGTTGTAGTTGGACACAATACCTTTATTTTATTTATTTATTTTTTATGTGGTTCTGAGGATTGAACCCAGGGCCTTGAATGTGCTAGGCGAGCGCTCTACCGCTGAGCCACAACCCCAGCAAAGCTGGGGATTTCTTTTGTCTTCCTGTCTTTAAATTGATCATCTTCAATTTTATAAAGAATCTTTATTAGTTTCCTGCTGCAGCTGTGACAGATTATCACAAACTCAATGATTTAAAATAGTACAAATTTATTATATTATGGTTTTGGAGGTTAGAAGTCAGAAATGCGTTTCATGGAGCTAAAGACAAGACTTTGGAGACTCTAGGGGGAAATACATTCCCCTGCCTTTTCCAGCTTCTCTAAGTTGCCCACATTCCCTGGCCATTGGATGCTTTCTCAGTCTTCAAAGCCAGCAGGATAACATCTTCCAGCTGACACTCCTGCTTCTCTCTCTGATTTATAAGGAGCCCTGTGGTTACATGGGCCCACCTAGCAAGGTGGGGTAGTGCCTCCACAATTTTTATCACATCTGTCAGGTAAAGTGACATATTTACTGGTTTTGGGAATTAGGTTACAGACATCTCTTGTGGGGAGGGAACACATTCTATCTACCTACTATGGAATATATGGTCCCATCTTCCAGCTATCAGGAATGTCTCCTACGCTCCATTGGCCCTCTCTTCATTCCCACAACCTTATGTGCAAGGTCTGTTGTTTTATCCACTTCCTAGGGTTCTCTGCACCCACTCTCTACACCTCAATCCCAGATCCCCATGGCATGTTGAGTTTCTCCTCCCAATTACTAGTCTTCATGGTAGCTTCATAATGCTAAGCTCTATTGAGAGCTTCTTTCCCTTTCTTTCCATTGCTTCTTACCTCCTCCTCCCCCAATACCCTTCCACCAACACTAGTCCCACACACACTAGCCAACCTCCCAATGGATCTCTAAAGGAGAAACGCAAAGAATTATTGCTTTTTAATTACAAGTGCTATTGTAGCATCTACGAGGAAGAACATTTTAAGCTTAATTGAGACCAAATGTGAAGTTAAATTAAATGAATAACTAATTAACGTAATGCTCCTGCATTAGCCCCGTGTGAGTGCAGAGGCCCAGAGAGAAGGCAGGTACCAGGCCTCTAGTGAACAGTCAATGCCCAGAGCTGAGGAGGGCGGGCAGCCTGGCCCTAGATGGTGAGTGCCAAGGGGCAGATCTCAGCACTGTGGAACCCCCAGCTTTTGGAGCTTTCCCCAACTGCCCAGCCACAGCCCAAGCCCTCATTTCCAAGGCCATGCTCTGAGCCCCACAGTGTTTCTTGCTTCTCTCCACTGCCAGACTTATCTGCTGAGAGGAGCTGATATGTCTTGTTCATTTCCCAGAGATCCTAGTGCTGGAGTCTCCCTTCAGATCGCCTTAAGAGTTGTTGGCTAAACAGGCAGATGCTCAACTGATTCAGTTGCTGCAAATAGTGAGAGGTGGGCAGGAAGGGACAAGCTTAGAAACGTGACAGGTGGGCTGCCATTTTCTTTCTTCACTCCTTTGTCCTGTGGGAGTTTAGTCTTAGTAGAGCAGCATGGCATCCATTTATGACAGACACCAGTGCTATGCAGCAGATTGGGGAAGAGGATGGATGAGAGCAGAGGTGATAAAATGCTGCAAGTGGCAGCGGGAGGCTTGTGTCATTTATAAGCCTATTCATATCCCTTATATTATCCCTGATGAGACAAGTTCCTTAAGGGCATGATCTCCTTTCCACACCACTCCTATGAGGTAGGGAATGTTATTACCATTTTCTAGAAAAGGAAATAGGTGTAAAGCTAGTTAACAGTGAAGGTAGGGAAGAGAAGACCTCCAGAAGAGCCACACCTTCTCCCCTGACCATCATCCCCAGCAGAGAGGGCCAGTAAGGAAACCTCTGCACTCTCCTTTCCAGGAAGCAGGGCCGCAACACCTGCCCACGCTGGACTCTACCACAGGATTGTATCACCATCTAGTGGCTCTTAAAAGTAACACAGCTTCTCCTTAAGCCTATCCCTCCTAGGTGTTAAAGTCAGATAAATCTTTCCGGTCTTGTGAGAAGTAATCATAAATTCTGAACATAAAGCCATATATCATAGGTCCTGCCCCTGTAGGCTCTGAAGACTTAGAGATCTCTGACTGACTCCTTCCAGAGCCAAAGTGTGTATCAAGCACATGAGACTCCCCTAGGTGTTACCACTGTAGCAAACACAACTTATTTTAACCTGTGTATCCAGGGTACTGCACCAGCCCACCCAGTATCCCAGTAAATACAATGGCTGTATCTTCTATGAGGCTGGAGGCTTCCAGCATGTTCCGCAAGTCATCAATGTCATTAGCATGCCCTCCATGAATGCACACCAAATGTGTGCTCCTGGGACCCTAGTTCAACAAACCCTGTGAACCCTGCTTGCTGCTGCTGGGCCAGGACCTGTCAAGGATTAGCACAGCACAGCTGGCAAAGGAAATCTATATTAGTACTGATGGGTAGCTATAGAAGTCAGTCGAAAATGCCAGGAGTCAGCCTGGCATGTCACACCCAGGACCTGGTGTAGAAGCAGGCACATCAGAACACTGGATAGAAGGGGGCTGCTGACAGCTCCAAGCAACAGCATGTTAGCAGCTGCTCAAAAGAACCAGCAGCACCCTCATTTCTTGTCATCCTGGTACTTGTGCTAGTGGTGAGAATCCTTTTCAACTGTGCATTGTCTACTTCATTCCTATGATAGAGCTGGTGTGTAGTACACACTCAGTATCCACTGGCATTCATTCTCAAAGCGTGTACCACACATGCTAGGATTCTCAGTTGTGCCTCACCCCATCAATTCCCATAACACTGACACTGATATCATTGTCCACTGAGGCATCATCAAGGGCTAAGGACCAGGGTGAGGCAAAGAGGCATTCAGCTGTCAGGATGGGCACACACACAAGCCCAAGAGTAAGTGCCCCCTTACTGAGGCAGCTCTCTTGCCCTACCATAGTCTTGGCCCTGGAAGAACAGCCATAAGCTTTAATCAAAATGGCCTAAGACGTTATCAACAGGATCAAATGGGGGTAGAATAAGAGGACCCAACTTGGGGAAATACACAGAGAAGACTGATTTGTGGACAAAGAGACAAAGAGAGGCTGGGCACCTATGAAACAGGAGAGATGACTCCTACAGGAACTGGGTGATTACAGAAATGAGAATTGAACATGCGAAGAAGAGACACCTTTTCCAGGCCTTGGTCCTATAGTCTTTGCCTTCAGTCATGGAATCTGAATAAGAAGTAGTCTGCATGTCCTTCCCTCCTGCTCTGATCCCATCCCTTCTGCTTGCAGCTCTCAGAGCTCAGTCCTTGAGCCTTTTATGTCCTTGGCTTGGCAGTCCCTTCCCACAGAGAATTTTCTGTACCCTTAGCAGCTTCATGGGTTGGGCTAGGTCGGCTGGTGTTGGATCAGGAGGCTTTGCCTCACCTGTCAGTAGAAATTTCCATTGTCTTGCCCATGTGGAGTGCTTTGGGGACCCAACAGGGACCCTCCACACTTCTTTTCCAATCGAGGCTTCATATTTCTTTATACCTGTATGAAGAAAAGTGAAAATGGAAGAGAAAGTGAGATACAACTTAATAAGCTCCTGCCTTTCATCTCTGTTCCTGGAATTAGGGCTCCCTTTTACCTCTAGAGCAGGGAATAATATGGAGAAAACCTCACAATGTTTATGCCACATTTGACAGCTTTACAGAGCAATATCACAGATCTCATCTTGCCTCAACCTCAGGTCATCCTTGCCTGTATTTAGAGATAAGCATCCCCATTTTTGCATAAGGATTCAGGAAATCTGAAGGAGTACCCACAATCTTAGAGTGAGCAGAGTGAGCAGAGAATGCAGGACTGTCCAGGGATTCAACAGTCCCAGCCCAGTGTTCTCTCCACTCCAGTAAATTATTATACATCCACACATGCCTTCCATGGAGAAGGACTAGCTTGGAAAGGCAGCAGTGCACAAAACAAACCCCTACATTTCTGGGTCCTTCTTAGGTTGTTCCAGAACTGGGTCCTCATTCTAAATGATACTACCTGTTTTGATATGGTTGAGAGGTGAGCTACTATATCTAAAGCTCAACTCCATTTCAGGCACACAGCAATGCTCACTAAATATTCCTTCTTTCCCCTTTTCCCTCCTCAAACCTGGCCTAAGGAATACAGGTGGAAGGAGCTAAATCAAGCTATCTAACTCCCTGCTCCCCTCCTCCAGAGCAGGACAAACCCTGTGAATGCTTCCTGCAAACTGTAGTTTGCTTCCTGCTCTCAGTTTTTCTCCTTGTGTGATGCCTTTCTAAAGCAGAAGTGTTTCCCAGAAATGTTTCCAGGATACTGTGTGGGTTACCATGACCCCAGGGGGCTCTTCCTCATATCCAACCCTGGTCCAGGCTCCAACCAGCTCCTCATGAGCAAGAGGCCCCTGCTCAGAAGGAGAGCCAAAAAGGCCACAGGAAAGTTGTCCAACCACCAGCACCAGCAGACAGTGTCAGCCTCTGACCAGCCCCTGCTTCAGCCACTAACCTATTCCTGCCACCCCTACAACCACCACCACCGGACACCAGGCAGACAGCACACCAGGTTACCAACGGACGATTGATTCAAATTTTGTTTCAGAGCCTCTGATTGGTAGTTGCTTTTTTCTGCACACCCTGGACAGAGGGACCAGATGACCTTTGTTTCTGAACTTCAGGAAGCACATGTGGATAGGCCTAAGTTCAGAAGGAAAATGATTTCCCATCTCTGCCCCCTCTGTCCTAGAGGATGCCCCTAATGCTGTCCCTCAGGGAAGAGGCTGCCATCCTCGGTAGCATCTCAGACCCCTTGGGAAACATTTCCCAAGCACCATGCTCTGTCCAGGTTATCTCTGGACCTGGCTCCCAAGAAAAAAGAGAAAGTCAGAAAAAAAAATCACATTGGAAGGGAGAGGATTTGCATGCAGCCCATGTTATAGTGGCACATTAATCGCAGACTTGAAGAAAATACTCACAAAAGTTGTGGGACTTGAGGAAAATACTATCGCGGATGGGTTAGGGCCAGACTAGAGCTACAGAGACACACGGGGACAACAGAGGACAGGTTAGTGGGTCTGGGGTGGGGCAGGGGTTCACACAGCACTTCAGAGAGGGGCTGGCTCAGGGTCCTTGAGGTCTGGGCTGGTCTAGCCTCAGAATGGGTGTAGAGTAACTGAGCACCAGGTGGGTTGCCTAAAGAATGAGGTCGGGAGAAGTGGGGCTTCCACTGTTAGGAGGACTCACCCTCTGCCTTTGCTCAGGGATGACTTCCAAGCCAGGATCTCTTTGTACACCAACCGACAGAGCAACTGTGGGGAGTCCAAGGCACAGAGGGAAGGGGGGCACCGTGAGCATCAGTACATAGCTCCCAGGGTCAGTTGACCAATGCATTGGCAGCAGAGAAAGGAGTCACCCCCATTTGCAAAGTAGTTATGATCAAAGAACTGCTGTTCTTGTTGCCCTAGAACCCCCAGTACAGGGTTCCAACCTGCGGAGACAAAAAATCCCCTTCTGATACCCCTTGGTGTATCCCAACAATGCTTACCAAGCAGGCCAGGATGTCAGCAGAGATGAGCATGTAGAAGACATTGTTCCAGCCTGTGGGGGAAATGAGTCCAGCCAGCAGGGGCCCCAGAGCAGCACCTATCAAAGCATAGCCTCATGAGAAGTGGGCCACACCTTCCCTGTCCACCTGAGGGTAATCCAACAAGCAGTCTGTCCAAGACAGGGCTTGGTCCAGCTGCCAAAAGCCAAATTAACATCACAGACCTATGGAGCCCGTGCCATCGATGATGGCTGAGACAGTGGAGAGGGCCTTAGCATTGCCCTTCAGGCTCTTGTGAGTGCCCTGAGGAGAGAAGCAGAGTGGAAGGACTGAGCTAAGTAGCAGCACTGAGTAGGACCAGGACAGGGGGAGGCTCACTTGGGAGTGTAGTGACTAGGGCTTGGATGTTGAGGAAAGGGATCTGTGGTGGGTTCTCAAGGACTTTAAGGGTCTTGTCCCTGTAGGAAAGGAGATGGGAAAAGGGATATGGGAAAGTGGCCATGGAGAGAGAAGCCCTGATCAAGTCCCCAGAGTGGTCCTTGGTGCACTGGGTTGGGGGTGGCCTGCTTACCAGATCAGCAGAGACTGCTGTGGTGATAAGTGCATAAGGACCATTGACCAGCATCCCGCAAATAATCAGCATCACTGGACAGCAGCAGAAATGGTGCAGTTAGAAGTGAGTCCCAAAGTAGATGACACCTCGAGGTCTCAGGCCTCCTAGCTCTTACCCTTCATACCCCCACACCAGCATCATTGGGCTCCCAAAGCAGGGACTTTTCTGTGGCCTAACAGAACTTGCACTGCCCACTCACCTATGGAGCTGACAATCCCATTCTGGCCAATGTAATTGTACAGGAACATCTGTGAGAGGAGGAGCGAGGCAGAGTCACATCCAGGTTCCCCTGGATGGGCTAGAACAGCCCTTTCCTGATCTGGAACACCAGATGTCACCTTATTCCTCCTCCCTCTCACACCCAGACTTCTCAGGTCTTTAAGCAACCCAGGGATAGAAGATTTAAAACATGACTTTTTTCCTAAAAAGCCTTCTCTCCTATTTAACCTCAATCTCTTTCCTTTTTCTTGGTCAAGAAGTTTTGTAGCTAGTCTCCTTCTTCTCTACCAAGGTCAAATAATCACTAATCCCTTTCCAAAATTCCCAGTCCTGGTCTCTTTCCCAGGGGCCTTATTCTTCTGACCCTCACTTCTCCTCCTCCCAGGTGTGCACAGGGAGTACACTCACATGTACAAGAGATAGCTGTATGCATAAATGTAGAGATGGGCACAAAGGTCAGAGGCCTGTGACATCTGCTCATAGGCACTTGGCCCTTGAGGTTATACGCACCATGGGGGCAGCCAAGATCAGCATGATGCAGCAAGTGGTGGCTCTGCCGTTGGTGTAGTCAGAGATGAGCCCTGCCATGATGCCACCTGGAAGACACAACACTCAAACACTGCCCTCCGATAGGAGGACGCCATCCCCTTGCCTGCTGCCCAGCTTCCCCCCATTGCCCTACTCAGCTTTGGCCTGCACCTGACATCAAGGACCAGCAGAGCGTCTCCCTCCACATCCCTCCCTGGCACCCATTACTATGAGAAACCACACAAGCCATCTTTCTTAGGCCTATCCAGCCCTGCAGGAGCAGAGAAGACCATTCTCTAGAGCCACCTGCCCAGGCACAGCCCATTGGACCTATTTCTTCTTTCCTTACCCCTAAGGAGAATCAGGGAAGCCTACTGGTAGAGCAGGTCAGGGCCTCACCTATGATGCCACCAACATCAAAGAGCGTAGACAGATCCCCAGCCTCCTTGGCACCAAAGTGAGCTTTAGAAAACACAAATACATGGTCAGACACCCAGAGGTTCAGGGCAAGCATTCTGCGTGCTGCAGAATAATCCCTACAGGGCCCTGATCCAGCCCCATCTTCCAGCTGAGAGCCCATGGCACAGTGATTTGCCAGGGCTGCAGAGTGGCTTTGCAGCAGTTTGGGACTTAGTCTTTCTGGTTTCCAGTCCTGCACTGCCCTTCTCCCCTGGAGGATGACTTTAACCTCTTAGAATAGACCTTGTCTCACAAAGCTGGGATCTGGGTCCTTAGAACCCTACCCCAAGAGCCATCTTTCCCCCGGAGTGCAGTCACTCTCACTGAGCCTCAGCCCAATCAGCCACTCGCCCTGTTCCACTCCTGACCTAACAGCAGGTTCCACTAAGTGCCCTTCCCAGCCACCTTAGAGCTCTACTAATGCAAAGAACGAGAAGAAGACTTGCAGGGAAATGGGGAACTTGGGCCCAGGCCTTGGTTCTAGGCTTAGAAAAAGGAATGTCCAGAAGCTTGACTTGTAGCCCTCCCCCAATGTTGACTCATATTCTGAAGTCAGAGCCAAGGCCTTAAAACAAAGAGTCACAGTGTCCACAAAACTGCCCCAGAACTCTACCAGTATTACCAAGAGGGGCCCCTAATGTAGAGCTAAAGGGCAAGACGCAGCTTGAGATCTGGCCATGACTAATCCACAAGGACTCCTATTCAGAGCAAGCACAAATGTGGCAACATTTGTGGGCAACATCGTCCCTCCCCAGGGCTGAGGGAGTCGAGCAGCCTTGGGTGAGAGGTCCTGAGTGAGAGGTAGAGTTTTGAGGCTCCCAGGGTCTGGGAAGGTGAAGCATGCTAGATAGAGACCCCCGCTCAAGGAAAAGCAGAGGCCCAGGTCAAGGGGATATCAAACACTCTTTTTCAATATCACAAGTGATCTCTCTTCATCTGTACATCCCTGAGCAGGGGAAGGGAAAAGTATCCCATGACGTGGGGCAGCTCCCCAAAAGCAGACCAGCAAAACTCAATACAAAGGCATAAAACCCATAGAAGAAGGGCCCTTGGGGCCAGGTTGTGGCTCAGTGGTAGAGTGCTTGTCTGGCATGTGTGAGGCACTGGGTTCAATTCTCAGCTCCGAATATAAATAAATAAACAAAATAAAGGCCCATCAAAACTAAAAAAAAAGAAGAAGAAGAAGAAGGGCCCTGTGGTTACTGCCAGCAGCAGGCCTCTTCTTTGGGCTGGGGAAGCACTCATGGTAGACCTTTCCAGCACCCAGCTCCACCCACCTGTGAGCCAAGCAGCCTGGAGTGGGGTGTTTTTCTTACTCTCAGGCTGAAGAAGACAAGGGAGGATGGTAGAACAGATCTTTGGAGTCAGGGTGAACTCAGCTGGACTCAGGGTCTAGGTATAATGTACAGAGCTTCCCACTTAAACAAAAAATTAAATAAATCTCCTCATGCCCTAGTTGAAGCTCAGCACACTGGAGTCTCACACAGTGCCGCAGTGGCTTCCTCCCCCACCAGAAGTAGCCTTGCTCTCCTTGGAGATCTCTTGCTCTTAGCCCTTCTGTCCCTTGGACTTACCCACATTGAAGATGTAAAGTGGCAGCCAGTAGAGGAAGGTGTAACTGACCAGCTTGGCGAAGAGCAGACAGAAAGAGAACTCGATCACACCCTGGGGAGCATAAAGAAGGTCACGATGGAATAGGGTCCAAGAGATCCTCCATCTGGTGGTGGCTCAGCACTACCCTGGGACTGTTTATCACCTTCCACAAAACAAACTCACACCCACACCTAATCCCAAAGGAAGCAACACGCCTGCTGCTCCATGCTGTGTCAAGTCTCCCAGACCGCCCTCCCCAAGCCCACTACTGCCCCTCCACCTCTCTCATAAGGAAATTCTGGAAATCATTAGTCATCCCCCATCCGATATTCTGATATCCAGTGGAAAAATCTAGAAAATCCCTCTCTCCCTTCATTCCACAAACTTCTCACCGGGATTTTGAGTGCCCCCAGGAAGCTGATGGCCACAGGCTCCTTGGAGCAGCTGGTCATGGTCTCCTGGCTGCTCTCCCTATTAGTGTAGGGACTGTTTTCAGGGTCCTCAGGGTTGTCCTGGTCCTTGTCTGACCCATCCTGTGCAGAAGAGAAGAGCCCTCACTGCAAGCTGGTCCATATACCCCCTTACCCAGCTAGAGCGTGGCCCAGGTGAACAGGAGGAGGTGTGCATCTCTTTCTTGGATAGGACTGACTCTGCCAGGCCCACTGGATTTTTAGCCAGTTAGTCCAATGGCCTAATACTGGGTCTGTGAAGTCAGTGGCAGCGGGGGAGGGGCACAACTCCCTCCTCCAACTCCCAGATCTTCCTTGGTCCAGCCCGGATCATGGGGAGGGAAGGCAGGGATAGAGCTGGGAGGGGTCACACTCACGTGGTGCTGTGGAGGGGCACAGTCCACATCTTCTGGGTCTGGAAAAAAAAAATCTTCTAAGAAGCTTCCTACAGGCCAGCTTTCACTTTACAGCTGGTACAGGAAGCTGGCTATACCATCTCCTGTGTGGTCTCCCCTCCATGACGGAATGGGCACTGGGGTTCAGGAGGCCAGTTTTCTAGGCCTGGCTCTCCTAATTACCATGTCACTACTGCCTCTTGGACTACAAAGTGGCTATAAACCCAGTCTTGCCAACTCACAAGGCCTCACAAGATGTCAGAAAATGGGGAAAACACCAGGCACAGTGGTACAAATTTGTAACCCCAGTGGCTCAGGAGACTGAGGCAGGAGGATGGTGAGTTCAAAGCCAGCCTCAGCAAAAGTGAGATGCTAAACAACTCAGTGAGACCCTGTCTCTAAATAAAATACAAAATAGGGCTGGGGATGGGGTTCAGTGGTCAATTGCCCCTGGGTTCAATCCCTTGTACCTCCCCTTCCCCTCTCAAAAAAAAGAAAAGAAACTGGGGAAGACAACAGTCAAATGTACCAAATGAAAGAGACTAGGTTCTGTGAGCATGGCCCTTCAACCACACCTGCCCCTTCCCACACCCCTCAGAGCCAACCAGTGTTGACTGGGCTGCTACAGGCCAAGCTCTTTTTGTGTGTGGTAGTGGGTATTGAACGAAGGGGCACTTTAGCACCAAGCTACATCCTCAACCCTTTTTAATTATTTTGAGACAGGGTCTTGCTAAATTGCTGAGGATTTCAGTAAATTGCTGAGACTGACCTTGAACTTGTGATTCTCAGCCTCCCAAATTGCTGGGATTACAGGCATACACCACTATGCCCAGAAAAAGCAGACATTTTAACTACATTGTAACTTCTTTAATCCTTCAGACATTCCAGGGAGTAGATATTATTATTATTTTGCAAATGAGAAAACTGAGTCTCAGCAACACACAGCTGATCCTCCAACCCATGCCCAGCAATCTTTCCAGTGTATCGACTGCCTTCTCCCAGAAACAGAGAACTGGGAGGCTCACTAGTGGGGTCTGTGGGGTCCACTCACATTCAATGAGGAAGAGGAAGGTGATAATGCCCATGATAGCTGTGATGACACCAGGAACAATAAATGACAGACCCCACTCTTGGTTCACCCAGATGCCGGCGATCAGGGAGCCCAGGATGTTGCCCACAGATGTATGGGAATTCCAGATGCCCATGATGAACCCCCGCCTGCAGGGGAGGGAAGGAAAGGGAAGAAGTGTAGAGAAAGTAATGACCCTGGCCAAGATTGTAAGTCTGGCTGCCCACAGCCTCTAGGAGGTGCCCAAGCTTCCTAGACTTGCAAAACCCCAGAGACACAGTCAGTGAGGAGGGGGAGGGCTGGGCTGTCGCCAAGCAGGCAACTGGTCTGGGCTCCACCCCTCTTTGCCAGCACCCTGAGCAAGCACAGGTGAGAGCTCTCACCACACAGAGAGTGTGGAGCCCCAACTCTTTCTTCCCTTTTGCTGCACCATAATCTTACTCTAAAGCAGAGGTCCTCAACTGGGGAGCAATTGTGCCCCCCCTTCTGGTAACATCTAGAAATTTGAGGGTGTCATAATTCAGGGTTTGCTCCTGGTACCTAGTGGGAAGTTGCCAAGCATGCACTAAGCACTGTCTAATAAGCACCCAATGACCAAAATATCAATAGCTCTGAGGGTGAGAAATCTTGCTCAAAGGCAACTTTTTCTTTTTCTTTCTTCTTTTTTTTCAAGATAGCAAAAAGTTTACACCAATTTTAAAGGCCTCTTTGTGTCTTCTTTCAAAATGGAAATTCATTCTTTTTGAGAAAAAGTATAACTAAGGTTGCCTTAACTATGGGTTAAATCCTCATGGACGACAAAAATAGCACTGCTCCCATGGAAACATTTGTGTCTCAGCCTGTGGACATCAACCAACTGGAGGAGGCACTCTCTACTCTTTCCCCTGAGTTTACACCAGAGGGCCGTGAGTAATCATCTCAGTAGTCCCAGCCCTCAAGGTCCTTCCCACCCTCCTCCTTCGTCATACTCACTTCCCTTTCCCGAACCAGTTGCCGACACAAGCCACCACTGAGGGCCAGCCTGTGGTCTGGACAAGTCCATTACAGATCTGTAGGGAGAGAGGATGGAGGGTGAGAACAAGCCTGGGCCATGCTCCACAGCCCTGGGTGGAGGAAGTTCAATGTGACGCTGAGGGGCCCTCCACACCCTACACTACAAACCTTGCCCTTCCCTCACATGCCTGTCCACCCACACCCCAATGTCATGAGCTGATTTCTCCTCTAGCTCAAGACTTAGCAGAGACCAAGCCTCTCATGCCTTCTGAAGGGATCTCAGTGCTGTGTTCAGGGCAGATTTACTGAGCTAATAATTCATGGCTGTTGGGTGTACAGTGTGATGGAGGGAACTGAACTGGGAGCAGGGAGTCCAGGTCTCCATCTGTTGTGACCTGGGGACAGATGGGAAGGACAGTGGCCTCTGGGGTCCTTTTAGTGATTGGAATAAAGACCCAAGGACAAGATGGAGATTCGTACCTGGATGAGCACAAAGTACCAGAGTACATGGATATTCCAGAAATATCCCAGGCCAAAGAGGGAGGTGAAAAGGCCACTGAGCAGCATTCCAGCTGAAAGGTAATAACGGAGGGGGAGCCGCTCCCCAAAAATTCCACTGGAGAAGAAGTAGTTAGATTTATGGTCAATATCCTTTATGTCCACTACCACTTCATTTCTCCCCTAACCCCAAGCCACTGAAAGTTTACACCAATGACCTCTGTGCTGTCACATGTCAAGGCTGACCTCAGCCCCCACTTCCTGGACTCCTGCCTTTTTTTTCCCCCCCAATATGGGGAATTGAACCCAGTGTGCTCTCTCACTGAGCTACATCCCCAGTCCTATTTTATTTTATTTTGAGATAAAATAAAAAAGGCTAGCCTTGAATTTACAATCCTCTTGCTTCAGCCATCTCAAGTAGCTGGGATTACAGGCATGTGCCAAATACCCAGTCAACCCCTTCTGCTTTATTTGACACTGCTGGCCATACAGTGAAGGCACTGTTGCTCATCTCCTTCCCCTGTGGCTGGCCATTCCTTGTCAATGATTTCCCTGTGGGAGCAATCTCTTGCATCACTTTTACGTTTTAACTCTCACCTATATGCTCAATAGTTCCAACTGTGTATCTTCAGTCCTGATCTGGTCCTCAGAGTTATAGGATCATATCCAGACACCTTCTGGACATCTTTACTTGGATGTCCTCAAAACATTAGAAATTCTACACTTGAACTGAATTCCTCTTCCTCCTTTCACCACTCAGGTCCTTGGCCTGATCTCTGATCTGAGAGAAGTGCACCACCAACCCACCTGGCTGCTCAAGACAGACCAGGGAGCCACAGGAGGCTCTGCCTCTCCTCACTTCCCACCTCTCACATTCAGTCTCTGAGGCCCACCATTCTACCTTTTTAATGTTTGCAGTGCTAGAGATTGAACCCAGGGCCTTGCACATGCTAAGTATATGCTCTGTCACTGAGCTGCATGCACAGCTGCTTTCTGCTTCTTAAATTATTCTGCAGTGTGCTGACTCTTCCATCTTCATTACCACAGTAGGAACTCACACTCAGCAGCTTGGTCTGTTGTAAAAGCTTTTTCTGGGCTGGGCACAGTGGCACATGCCTGTAATCCCAGTGGCTCAGGAGACTGAGCCAGGAGGATCATGAGTTCAAAGCCAGCCTCAGCAACTTAATGAGGCCCTAAGCAACTTAGTGAGACCCTGTCTCAAAATAAAAAATTAAAAATGCACTGAGGATGTGGTTCAGTGGTTAAGTATATCCCCTGGGTTCAATCCCTTGTACCAAAAAAAAAAAAAAAAAAGCAAAAGCCTCCCCTTGGTATGATCTATCTTGCTCTCCCTCACTTCTCCCTCAGATTGATCTATCCTGAAACAAACCTGGGGTAAAAACCCTCAATCACTTTCTCTCCTCACAACCTGACACACAGGCCTTTGGCACATGACCTCATCCTTTAGTTCCATCTTATGTTACTTCCTTGGAATCTCCTCTCTGGAAAACCTGTTTCCTCACTTGCCTTATTTTGCTCATGCTGTGCTTTCTGCCTAGATCCCCTTCTCTGCTACCAGGCCCATGACCTCTTTACCAGTTCAAGACTCATATCCTCCAAGAAGCATTCCACAACCCCATCTTCTCCAATCCCCCTGCTTGAACTCTGTAAGTATTCTGAACTCCAGAGCACCTGATGGCCTTCTCTATCCTAGAGCCACCTTGCCATTTTGTAATTAGCAGATGATGCCTGGGTCGCCCCATTAGGCTGTGAGCTCTTTGAAGGCAGGACCCTGCCTTATTCATCTGTGATTCCTATCAGTGAGCTCCAAACTGGTTTTGCCAGATTCATGCTTGCTGGGCTAACCTTAGACACAGCACAGGATAGGAGCTTCCTGGTATCTCCACATCTAGGGCCATCTTTAGAGGGACCCTGCTTCACACCCACAAATGCTAAGTCAACTCAAAAGGGGCATCTTGAAAATCTTCCAGGAAAAAGGGCAGCTAACAGTGGGAGTCCACCAGGTAAAGGAGCAGTCTTGGAGGCCACAGTGAGGAAAGGAGGCTGATGGTTTATGCACAAGTCTTGGCCTCACTCCTACCTAGGGAGCAAACAGCTTTCACCCTTCAGCCTGATGCCCCCAGATTAGACAAGGGGAGGCTGCAGTTCTGAACCATTCCACTCTAGATGGGCACAGGCTCTGCCCCTCTTTACCTGATAAACATGCCGATGGCATAGGCCACAAGGAAGGCATTATCCACAGCCCCCAGTAATTCCTTGTAGTCATCTTTATCTGAAAGCAGACAGAAGAGACAGAAAGTTGACTGCTTAGCTTCCCCTGCCACTTGGAAGCCCTTTTTGGCTCTGGGTAGCCCCTTCTTGAGGAAGAGGGAACAGGAGTGGAGAAGAGCAACATGTTTTTACCAAATGGACTCCAGCTGCACCACGAGGTATCATTTAAACTGTGGGTATCATTGATGGGTTTGATCAGCTCTGAGCAGTTCTGGTGCAGACGGCTCTGGGGAGGCAATGATTTGCATAGGTCAGGGGTCATCTCATCATCCCAGACCCCACTCAGCCCAGAGAAGAGAAGGACCTCCTACCCCAACACACCAGCACCACTGCCTTTCCCCGCTCCCCCAGATTCCTTGTTCCCTTCTGCCCGCACCTTCCTTAACAGTGACTGAATATAGGGAAAGGTGGCTATCTCAGACTGGTAAGCAGGACAAATAGAGCCCAGGATCCCTGCCTTCTCATCCCATCCATACCCCCAACACTGAACAAACTCAAAAGAAGCACATAGGGAAATATTCCTGAGGGGGGGGGGGGGAAAGAGCTACTAACTTTGAGTATCTGCCAGGGGGGAAGGAGTGGTCTCTGTGACCAGAGAAAGGGAAAGAGGCAGGTAATGGCCTGAGGACAAGACCACTCCATTAAAGTGCACATCTGCTGGCCCCAGCATGTCCTGCATTCTCCATTACTACCCAGCCTCACCTTGACAATGCTGATTGGCTTCCTGGACATGTGATAACAGGTATAAATGAGGAAGGTGAGCAGCAGGGTGAAGCCACGGAACCTGCAGAAGAAGCCAGGCATCTGGGTCAGCAGGAAGCCAAACCCCAGCTGGGAGCTGCCTCCAGCCTGTGCCTGCTCTGGTAGCCCCAAGGCCTAAGCCCCACTTACTCTTTATCTCCAGGTTCCCTTTTAGACACAAATTCTCAGGGGCAGAGGCCAGGGGGAGGCTCAGAACAGCCGGGCAGAGGACAGATTGCTGGGAGCATTATCTCCCTGGTTTCTAATAGAATCCTGAGGTTTCTAATAGACTGGCCAGTCACCCACACCTTAAAGGGAAGCACCTCCCCTGCTCCTGTTGCTTTCCAGCCCCTTTGTTTCTCTGTGGCCTAATCTAGGCAAGGGCTTCTGGGTGTCTGTATGAGCCACAGGGATGGTGGCAGGGATCTGGGATGGTTTTGTTTTTGCTTTTATTGGGGATTGAACCCAAGGGCACTTAATCACTGAGCCACATTCCCAGTTCTTTTTTTGTATTTTATTTAAAGACAGGGTCTCACTGAGTTGCTCAGGGCCTCACTAAATTACTGAGGTTTGCTTTGAAATCATGATCTCTCAGCATCTGGAGCCACTGGGATTATAGGTGTGCTCCACCACACCCAGCTGGGATGGTTTTTAAATGTCAGAAACATAGGAGTGGGAGGGAACTGCAGAGGAAGGAGGGTCTGTCTTCAAAGTGAGGTCAATAGTCGCCTTGAGCTTGGAACACAGCAGACAGTCCAGGCCTCAGTTGGAGATGAGTCAGCTGGGGCAGCTGGTGACAGAACCCAAGTCTTCTCCTTCATAGTCTCAGGCTGGTCCATTCCACTGGACAGAAAGATCATTCTTTCCCTCTGTGGCACACACATCCCATGTGCCCTCTCCCACCTCCTGCCTTGCATCTCATCCACTGGCCTGGGATGGAAAGAACAGTCCCAGTCAGACACCAATCAAAATTTCCACTGCAGCCTAGGCCTTTTTCCTCTCCCAAGGGTCTGGGGAAGGAAGAGCCTGCAGTGCCTGCCTGAGTCACTGTCTGCTTTGACAGCAGGCCATCAGCTGAGCCAAGTCAGCAGCTGCTGAGAACCAGAAAGAAAGTGGAAAATAGACCTCAGAATGGGGGTTGGGATGCAGCTCAGTGGTACTGTGGATGCTTACAATGTACCTTAAAAAATGGTTCCCCCAGCCTGAGAGAAATATCCAGGCATTAGGAAGACCCAGTTCTTTGGCTCATCAATTAAACATCTCATGAGAAGTGTGTAAGAGGGCTCTGGAAATCTTTGTATCCCTTAGTTCCATGAATCTAAGAGTAGATACTAGATGCTCACTCTGTCCTCTCTGGGAATCTACACCCAAACCCCAAACTCACTTCCCTCAAACATGTCATGAAGCAGTGCAGGCTCTCACTTGTGAAATAGAGTATTTCAGCAAAGCCCAAATTTGGGTTGGGCTATCAGTTCCCTTCTCACTTTACCCCTGGATTTGCACTTCTTAAGAGGGTCTCTGTCTCCATTCTGTCCATTTTAAGTTTTTCTGCTTAAGAGAATGAAGTTACACATGGCCTTCTCCATTACTTTGCATAAAATTTTTCAGTGTCTTTCCATTCCATCAAAAATGCAATTCCAACTATGTAGTCTGGATTTCACTGCCCAAAGACACCTGAATGGATCACAGGAGTCTTCTAGAGGCTTGAATTCTATTCCAAGTGCCTGACTGGTGACTGACATTAGCAGTTTAGTGGCAGAAAAGTTTTCTGGTTCTACTGGTTGCCATATGGCACACAACTCCTAGTTTGGGGATTTCTAGAAGCTGAGGTCAATTTTCTGAGAGAATTTGGACAGGGTGTCTAGTTGACCTTCTACAAACAAGGAAGTAGGTGCAAGGAAACTTCACCTAGAGAACATCAATGCTGCCCTTGCCTGGGATGCTGCCTCATTCAGGGAAAAGTTGGAAAGACAGAGACACCTGTCACTCATTTATTGGGTAAACATTTTCTGCCTCTGCTTCACTCCTCAGTTGTACCAGAATATAGTATCAACCCCATCCATCTCACAAGACAAGTGAACACAATATCCTCCTATGCTCATCTCTAGGTCTCTGTCACTATCACAATAGTGACAGATCAGATCCTTTCTGGATCTGAAAGACCTCCAGGACCTCCCCACTGGGGCCCCTGAAAAGCCAGGCAATGGGGTCTTTGCCAGCTATGGAGCCTGATGTAGCCAGGAGGCCAGGCTACACTTCAGCAGGCACACCCAGCCCTCTCAGGAGCTGAGCAGAAACAAAGAGGGCCCAAAGGGATAGCCTGGCTACCAGCAACCCTTCCGTTCCCACCCCCACTCCCCAATAATACCATACTGCTTCACTCCCACATGCCAGGAGCTGCCCACCAACACCTCAGCCTACCCTCCTTGACTTTCTCCTAGTTATGGTCCCAGCTATACCTCCTCATCTGCTCCATGTCCCTTTCCTCCAGAATCCTTGTGCTTTCCAACTCCAGGTAGGATAACTGTTCCAGAGGACAGACATATTCATGTCCATTTCTAACATCCTGATTCTCTTGGCAGAAACAAGACTGCTTTTCTGCCGACCCATGTGCCTTCCATGTCCCAGGTGTCAGCCTAAGGATCTGGAAATAGCAGGAGGAATCATAAGAAGGATCTTTGCCCTGCTGGAACTCACATGTGAGTGCAGGATAGACAAAGTCAGTGTGACTGTGCTATAAAATAAAGAAGTCCTGCCTGACACTGGAGCATAGAGGAGGGACACCAGGCCCAACAGAATGGGAGCAGTGTCTTTCAGAAAGAGATTCCAGTGGTGAGGCTTCAGTTGTATCTTCAAAAAAAAGCAGGAAGAGGCCAAGTCAATCATGGCTGGGCAGAAAGATATGCCAGGGAGAGGAAGCAGTTTGTGCAAAGGCACTGAGGCGTGAAATAACACTACCTGTTTAGGGAACTTTGCATGGCTCCGGATATCTGTAAGGTGGGACTGAGCCAAATATAGACGAAGTGGCTGGAAGGAGGCAGAGCCAAGACCAAGCAGGGCCTTGGGTGCCAACCAACGGAGTTTGGGCTATTTCTTGAGGATAGAAAGCCACTGAGGGACACCTAGGTCAGGGTGCTCTGGACAGGAGCCAGGTGAAGTCCTAGGAACACCCAGGCTTCTATCCTGTTGATTCTGGGGGAAGCCCCAGCTAGCTTTCCTCAGTGCAGGGTCTGTTCCCTGTGTTTTTTCTACCTGCCAACTATCCCAGGGGCCACAGCAGCATCTTGGGCCCCCCCTAGGTGTGTATTTCAAGGAGTTGATGTCTATAAGAGAAAACAGCAAGGACTTAGAAATCAGGCAAAAGCTGGATTCATTCCTTAAACCTTTTCACTCCTCTAAAAAGCAGTTTATCACCTTTCTCGCAGAGCTACCGACAGGTTAGAGTTACTGACAGGTTTTATCACATTCCTAACACCCAGTAGGCATTTAAAAATAGAAGTTAGTATTGCTTCAGACTTAACAGATGAGGAAGAAGAGCTGGAGGACAGAGACAGGCCTTGCTGCTCTGTCACTGGTACCAAACTCTTCTAGACTGTGATTTCTAGAACCTGGATTCCAGCCCCTTCCCCCACCTCTAAAGGAGGCATACCTGGGTCCCCATGAACACAAATATCTGAAGCCAATAGCACCCTCACCTTGTCTGGGGTGGATGGAGTGCCTATGGAGAGCCTGCAATGGTACAAAGAAGTGACTCTGACCTGCTGAGGCCTTCCCACTTTCCCTCAGAGGCAGACAGGAGGATCAGCAGGGTCTACACTGGCATGCTGTGATTTTCCAGCCCTCTCCTCCTTGAGAGACCTGCTTGACCTACACCCAAATTCCTAGAAAACCTGATCTCCAATGAGCAGAGTGGCACACACCTGTAATCCCTATGGCTTGGGAGGCTGAGGCAGGAGACAGTTCAAAGCCAGCCTTAGCAATAGCAAAGTGCTAAGCAACTCAGTGAGACCGTCTCTAAATAAAATACAAAATAGGGCTGGGGATGTGGCTCAGTGGTCAAGTGCCCCTGAGCTCAATCCCCAATACACCCCACCCCCCAAAAAGAAAACTTGATCCCCAAAGTGAGCAGGAGAGTCGTGATTCCTGGATCCAGGGGTCCTTAGCTGTGCTGTGTGATGCTAAGTCTGGCATTGGATTCCTCTGGGACTTCCAGCCTGGACTCCAGATGGATGGAGGGGTTGAGCTCAACGTCACACCACACTGGCACAGTGCATGGAGGGGCAGGCCTTCTCCTAGTCTGATGCTCTTTCCATGCAAACTTGTCAGGGTGTTCTCAAGAAAAGGCTCAGGTATCATCATTCAAAGGGGCCTGAGGACATAGGTCAGATTAAGGGCTGGGTTAAACTGAGTCAAGCTTATGAACACACACTCAATTTGCAGGCCAGAGAGCTGACGCTCTCCTGCTGTGGGTGGGACCTGGGAGGTTTCACTTCTCTTCACAAGCCCTTCCCTTGAGAATCAAGGGGCCCCAGAAGGGGAGCAGGGTACAAGGTATGCACAACTGTGAGTAGAGGGATGGCAATCCCAGTGTAGGACCAGGCTGGGCAAGCAGGTCAAGGGCCAAGGGTGATGAGGTGCAAGGCTCGCAGGTAGTTCCAGGTGGGGCTTGCTGCCTCATTACCCTCTAAATCTGTTGACAAGAGGTGGCACTTCTTAGAATCCCACCTCCCTCTACCAGATACTGGTTACTGAATAACCAAGTCAGATAGAGAGGGGGACTAGCTATCTCTTAATTGTTAGCTGACAATCCAACTTATTCTTTCAAAGGAGCATGATAATGGCTTTATTGACCATGTTAAGACTTTGCACTAAGAATGCATCTGGAATAGGAACTGGGCACAGAGCGTGCCACAGTAGCAAGAGATAAAAAATAAACTGACTGACCCTGCAAAGGACCTATCACCACTAATACTAGAGCAAATATACAAATAAATAAAACAACCAGTAAGAACAAGTACAGCTGAGGGTCTCTGACCTTTGGAGAAGATAGAAACAGCCCCTCTTTCTGAAGGCCACTCAGTTATCCCCACCCTCTGCATCTACCTTTCTTGCTTTGCAACTATTTTTCTAACAGTCCTGTCCACCAGCAAAGCCAATGGGGACTATAACTCCCTCAGTGACTGATCCCCTCACCCTCTTCCTCAACCAGGACTTTCTGGATGGTGTCTGGGGCTGCCCTGGAGACCACACAACAGGGTGCACTGGCTATATCTGCAGGTGACCTTGGCACTTGCCCTGAGGAAATGGAACTTGGTGGCCCTTTTGTGGGTGTGCCTGTTCTGGGGTCAGCAGGTCTAAAAAGGATAGAGGGCTGGGCACTATAAGAACCAAGCCAGGGTCAATGGTAACATTGCCACCACCCCTGCACCCTTACCAAGCCCTCCAGACACTAGGAGATATCCTAGTGGGAAAGGCCTGCTGGGAACAGATAGCACAGGGTCAGAGTCCAGAACCAGACTCCCAGCATACAAGATGGGACAAGGGCATGCCAGGTCTGGGAGGGCGTCTGTGGACCAATGGTACAAAGCTTTCTTAGGTCAGGGAAATCCTATGCTTCTTGTCCCCCTTTCTATAGGTGAGACTTGGGCACCTGCTCAGAGAGATGAAGGTGACCAAGGGCCAACCAGCCAGTCCCAGAGCCAGGGAATCCTCAAGATCCTTTCCAAAGAAGGAGCCACTAGTCATAGCTGTGGAAACCCAAAGCTTCTAGATGAAATTAGTGGATAAGATGAACATTTTTTTTTTTTTTTTTTTAGGAAAGAGGAAAATATAGGCTAGATGGCTTGCTTGAGGAGAAAGCTGAGTAGAGGAATCCTGTGTGCTCAGACAGAATGAAAAGGCACGGCTTCATTTCATTTTGACAATCTGGGTAGCTGAGCAAGAATCCAAATTCGTGGGGCTTGGCAGGGTGGCCAGCAGGTGTAAGTTCCATTTTCTTCTGAAGCAAGGCTGTGTGAACAGCACAGACGGGAGTGTGGTGATGAAGGCAGAGCTATGAGATGAGGCCTTCCCTGTTAGGTCCTCTGGAGGCTTCACCTTGACTCACGTCTCCTGAGCACAAAGGACCCAGGGATGATCATGGCAGAGACTAAAAGGAGAGCAGGAACACCACCCACTACACAGCCCTCATACACATTCCAACCTCACAACAACCAGATGGGGGAATCCTGGGCTTCAGGGGCACAAATCCTGGTGTCTGACCTTGATTTTGCTGGTCTTCTGGGACTGTCCAGCTTCAACCTCAGCACCCAACTGGTTTATTTCAACTGAAGAAATAAGGCCTTAGCCAAGCATATAGACTATTCCAAACTCCTTGCTGCCTTTCCGGTCAATCTCTGAAGCCTGAGTCAGACAGCTCCACCCAAGCCAGTGAGGTACACACCAGTTTGTGTTGTAAGGAGGGAAAGAGGAAACAACAGGGCAGAAGAGGAAACACAGAAAGCAGCTGCGAAGCAGACTGCACTCACAAGCAGTTGGGGGAAGGGACTGCAGGGTCACATGCTCAGTGGGGGAGGAGGCTTAGTGGATAATGGGTTGCTCCTCCAGGTCCTGCAGGATCCTTCATTCCTTCTCACAGCAGCCTCTGCTCATCATAGCTCATCTTAAGCAGCACTTTCTGCTGCCTGTACCAAGCACCTCTTTGTAGGAATCAGGAAAGTAATTCAAGCAAAAGCTACATGGATAGCATCTGGGGGGTGGGGGGTGGGTAAATCTAATCTAGGGCCATGGCAAAATAGGGAAAAGGACATCAGACTTAGGCCAAAAGAGGCTGAGTTTTCATATCTGGTTCTGCCACTTACTGTGACCTTGAGCAACTTGTTTAGCCTCTCTACTTCTCAGTTTGATCTTCTTTTGAAAAGGAGAATGAATGCCTGCCCAAGATTGTCATAAGGATCAAATGAAGTATAATGGATGTGGACGTATCTGGCATACACAGTATTTCTCTGGGTGTGCATTCCAACATTTTTCTCCTGTGTCTTCCAAGCAAACTCCACAGAGCAGAATCATTTGTCCTAGTTGCAGCCACCAGTTTGGCCTAGTTCTTGTCTGGCCCTTGTGGGAAGATTAGGGTGTGGGGAAAATGGAAAATGTGGGAGTTCACAGCTCCTGCTCATCTTGCCTGTTCAATCTGCTCCCCCTCCACACCCATTCCTGCTCATCCAGCTCCTGTGTCAACCTGGTCCCTCCTCCCACTGGCTTCACATCCCGAGTTCCCCCTCACAGGTCCCAAGAAAAATGCCCAGCCCCATAAGCAACAGCCACTGTCATTCCTCTGAAAAGATGCCCATGTTGCCAGCTGCCCCCAAACATGCCTATGCAGATGCTGGCGCAGAAGTAAAAGAACCAGCCAGTCCTGGGGTTAGGGAATCTTCTGGCATTCGGTAGCTCAGAAACACCATGACAGAAGGTCTGATAGGAGGAGGAGGAACAGTAACATCTGCCAGGCAGAAGCTCCTCACAGTTTAGGATCATGCTTAGAGGGAGCTGCTTCTGAACACCAGATGCCACCTGCCTCCAGCCTCACTTCCAGGGGCTGCTTCCTGGACACACTATGCGCCTGCTGGCCGGAGCCATTTGTTACTAGTCCCTAAGTAATGGCTTCCAGATCCATCAGTCAAAGTTGACCTTCTCCCCTGAGAGGGAATGAATCCCTTCCATCACAGAAATCTTCCAGTACCCAACAAATATTAAATATGCTAGGCACTGTGCTAAGTGTTTTAAATAGTTTCTTATTTAATTTCATCCAATCCTGTGATTTAGATACATTGTCATTTCCCTTCCATAGTAAAGAAAATGGAGCCTTAGAGAGATTGATTTGTCTAAGGCCAAATGGCCATGTCACTACCCCACACTATCATCGGTGGGACAGTGGGAAGACCATAGGTTTTAGAGTCAGACTAATCCAGATCCAAATTTCAATTCAGTCATTTACCAGTCATTTGTGATGCTGGGCTGGCTACATAACTTCTCTGTGCTTCATTTTACCCATATGTTCAATGAAAAAACTAATACCTTGCAGTTCTAAAAGAATTATAAATTAATAATGCCTGGCACATATTAGTAGGAAGAGTGAATAGAATAATCATTGATAACTAATGATTACTTAGTGCTTAATATGAGCCTGGCACCAATATAAGTACATGTAGTACCCCATTTAAACTTCACAACAATTTTATGAAGTATACTACTACATCCCCATTTTATAGATGCAGAGTCCAAGGCCCAGGGCCAATAACCCTCTAGCTTCTTATGCTCTTTTCTTTACCTCTGTTTTAACATTCTCCTTGGAGACATGTGAAAACAGTAAGATTTTTTTTATTGGTGCATTATATATTATATTATTTTACATAATAGTGGAATTTGTTGTTATAGAGTTTGTTTCTAATTTTATTTCAGACTGTAAGTACTTATCCTGTTTGCCTCCATTCCAGCCTATATTTTGTTTAACAGAGGTTAAAGATAAATTGGATTAACATTTAGCCATAGTAATACCATCTCTGAAGATGAAAAGCCACCATTTTATCAGGTTTTCTATACGCCAAGCAAATTATACTATAATCTCTAATACCTTATGTATCAGACATGTTCAAAAAGGCAGTTTTCTTCAAAATCAACTCAAATGACCTCTAAAAGACATGGCACATACAAAACATCACATTTTGACACTCAATACACAAAGCAGTCCCTTCAAAAATTGTTGATTGTGTGTACACAACCTGTTCCAGCTTTACCCTTACTTCAGAGAAGATAGGATCGTGTCTTAATTGTCTCTGCAGGCCTCAGAGTGAAGTGCAATAATGCACCTGCAGCACAACTACATCTCATTTGACGCTTGATAGGAATCCAAACCCATGCTCATTAGGAAGCAAGAACACCCATCAAGCACCCTCTAACAGCCAATGGAGGTCAAACATGTTTAAACAGACTATCATATGTATCTTCAAAACCACCTGATTTTTACTGGTGAAGGAAACTGAGGCTCCTCAGAGAGGTACATGGTGGTGAATTAGCCTTATTATGTTTTTAAACACTGGATAGATTTTTGCTGTTGTTATTTGTATTGGCTCCTTTTTGTTTTGAATACTACAAAAGCAAACAAATTTTCTTGTCAGTTGAATTATTTTTGTCATAATTCTCATGAGACTGTTCATACTTGAAAAATATCAGTAATAAGTTGACTAGCAGTTTTTAAATGTCATCTACAAATAGTTTTTATTTTGTTCTGATGCCTCCTAAAGACTTTGCAATCAAATAGGCCAATTTTTTTTTTCTTTTTAAGATTTTTTTTAATAAGATGGACACAATTTATTTATTTATTTATTTTTATGTGGTGCTCTGAGGATCAAACCCAGTGCCTCACATGTGCGAGGTGAGTGCTCTATTGCTGAGCTATAACCCCAGCCCCCCATTTTTTTTTATTAACAACTATTTCTGACAAGCACTTACTCTTGGGTACAGAGTTCTGATGGCACCACTTGAGCAACTTTGAGAACACACTAATGAATTGAGTTAGGAGTTCCTGGACTCTTTAATCAAGAAATGGATGTTTTTGTGTTCGACTGTTTTCGTGGTACTGGGGATTGGCTGAGGAGTGTTCTATGACCCAGCTATATCCCCAGGTCTTTTTAAATTTAATTTAATTTTGGTTCCAGGGATTGAACCCAGGGGTGCTTGACCACTGGGCTACATCTCCAGCTCTTTTATTTATTTTTTTAATTTGATACAGGGTCTTGCCAAGTTCCTTAGGGCTTTGCTAAGTTACTAAGGCTGGCTTTGAACTTATGATCTTCCTGCTTCAGCCTCTCCAGCCAGTGGGGATTACAGGTAATCACCACCATGCCCAGCTGCCTTTTTTACTTTTTGAGACAGGGTCTTGCTAACTTGCCCAGGCTAGCATTGAACTTGTGATCCTATTGACCTTGCCTAAAACAGATGGGTTTATGAGATTGCTAACCCAAGATTGTGTGGAACAAAAAAATTAATCATATGGAACTAAATGGACCAATGAGGGATGACTGTCATATGTTTGAATATTTTTGTTATGTTCCATTTCCAGGATATAAGTATTAGGAAGACCTTTGTCTTTTTTCTTAGGCGATCTGCAACCCATAACAATTTAGTAGACTTCACTTTTATAAATTGAAATGAAACATTAATAAATGTCTTATCCTTCCTATCTAACTCCTAAGAATTCAGAAACTCTATTGGTTCTTCTTGTTTTTCATGGTAATATGACTATTTGCAAAGGTTCAATAAGAATCTGTTCCCTGTTCCTCTCTGACTTTTTAAAAACTGACACATAATTAGAAAAATTGGTTATGTAACTAAGTCTTTGGCTGGAATACTGTGTTTGACAAAGATGTTCTCTTATCAGATATAACCAGCCCCTTTTAAAGAACTAAGTTTTACCTTTTGGAGCCAATACTAATAAAACACTTCCAAGAAAAGTAGCTTGCTGAGTTCCCAACCTTATAGGCAAAAAGGAATGTCATCATTTGTAGCATCCAGGAAGCTTAAGAGATTTGGGGGACCTTGAAAAGAGAGGCATTTGCCAAAAGTTATAAGAACAGCAAGTAAAACCTAGTGAAAACAGTTTCTTGGTATGGTTTATTAACCTCAGGACAATAAATAAGAAAAGACTTTAAAAGTCCAATCCAGGATTCCTCATGAAAACTTTTGGCAAAGCAAACTTAACAAGCTCTGTTAATTAATATTCTTGCTGTGTCTTAGTAAATAATGAGATCAAATCTAATGGGACCAGCTTTATTTTGTGATCAAGAATAATCTTTCTTGGAGATTATAATAATAATTATTATTATCATCACCAAAACAGGGGAGTCTGTGGAGGAAAACAAAACAGAACTATGCATTGTTCAGAGGATATACCTTCAATTTATCTGAATCCAGCTTTCACTTATCTGATTCTAGCTTTTCATTGACTTTGAGCTATTTTACAGTTTTTTGAAATGGTAGCAAACCAATAAAATGTCATGTAAAATATGTTTATGAACAATAATTCCAATAGTTTTCCATCCCAACCTGTGGAAAAAGTAGTGTGGCTTTAATATTCCCAAATTGTAAATGGGTATGTTCTTTGGATTCTGGTTTTTTAAATTGTGCTAAAAGGTACATAACATAAAATTTGCCATTTTAACCATTTTAAATGGCATTAAGTACATTCACATTATTGTACATCCATCACTCCTATTTTTTTTCAATTTTCTTTGCAAATTGAAACTCCATATGCACTAGACACTAACTGTCCATTTTCCCTCCCGGGATTCTCTTTTGAACCAATTATAACATCTTCTGACTTCTGCATTATAAATTTTTTTAAAAAAATATTTTTTAAGATGTTGATGGACCTTTATTTTATTCATTTATTTATATGTGGTGCTAAGAATCGAACCCAGTGTCTCACACATGCTGGGCAAGTGCTCCACCACTGAGCCACAACCCCAAGCCCTAAAAGAAAATCTTTAACAAGTTAATTTTTATATTCTTATGAAAGTCATGATCTTATCTTTCTGAAAAAAATATCATTTAATAGTCTCAAACTCAAAAAGAACCAGGTAAGTAATCTAAATGAATGAAGAAGGTTGGAAATGAAAAGTACTAACAACCAATTCAAAGTGCCTAGGTGACCAAGTGTCCTCATTTGCCCAGAACTGAGAAAGTTGGGAACGAAAGACTATTTTAAAACCAGGACAAATTTGTTGCCTTGAAAGTACCTGACCTATCTGACGTGACCTTTAATTCCTATTAATTTAATTGGGAATTAAGGCCTGGTATTAATATGTCATATGTTTTTCAAGAGAAGCCTCGAATTTGGCTATTTTTGTTAAATTTTATAAGTTGTAAATGATGGCAACCACCAAAATATTAAAGAAAAAAAATACACTACTGTGCAGATCAGGCAAAATGCTCCAAATTGCTCTGATGAAGAATGTCTGAAACCTGTCCACCCACCACCAGGCCATCACATGGCCACTGTGATCAGGAGGACATGTACTCTGGGAGCTGGCTCACCTGTTTGGGGGCGACCACCCAGCTGGGAGCTGTTACAGATACAGTCCCAAGTCTCCCAGGGCCTGGAACTCCTCCAGATAAGCTGCCAGGACCACTGAGTTCTGGTTTCTGTGTTACTCTATGGCTAAAACAAACTGAAAGGGACATAGAACAACTCCAATATATAGCCACCTTTTTGGTCCACCACCCGCGGCCTAGGTTCCTTAGTTAGCATGTCCAGATCCCCCAGGTGCTCAGGGCTACAAGAATGAGGCAGTGAGGCGGTCTGAGTATGTGCTCCTGTTTGAAAATGAGGATGGCAATGGCAAAGGGGAAAGTGTGGGGGCTCTGCCAGGCAGCCCATTGTTCATCAGTGTCACTGAGAAGTAGGAGAACGCAGTAAGGCAGGGTCTGTGTGTTATCAACCTTCCAGGTTGGTGTAGGTGAAAAAGCCCGGGGCCAGATCTTACCAGACCGTCCCTCCGGGGAGTAGGGCCACCGCGGACCTAGTTTGGCCTCCGGAGGCTACTTGGCGGTCCCTGCCCGCCCCTAGCCACGAGCTGAGGCAGCGCGCCTCCCTCCCCTAGCTCACCAGCTGTCCCTGGAGAAGGAGCGGAGGAACCAGACACCCGGAGCCAGGGAAGACCGCATCTTGCCTGGCTGGTACCCGAAGCTGAGTCGACGCAGGAGGGCGCGGAGTCTGCGCGTGTCCCAGGCCGGCGGTCAGCGGGGGTTTAAATGCCCCGCCGGCTGGCCCGCCCCGAACCACACTGCCGGAGCACTAGAGCCTCCGCCCCTTTGCACCTGACAGCCCTCGGAGCCCGGCAGAGCACAATCAGATGGGCCATCTCGCGGCCACGCTTACTAGGACCTGTTTTCTCGTATTTTGCCTCCCGGTCAGAGACTGACAGCTCTTGGTTTCCGGGCTCCTCTTTCTGCCCTGCCTGCACTTTGCGCCTCCCTACCCTCCCGGGAAATGAAAACAGCAATCCCAGGCCGGATCAGCTCTACGTGAGGATCCCGCCTAGCCGCAGCTGTCCCCGCAGCGCTTTCTAGCCTGAGAAGCAGTGGGCTGTAACAGAGACCGAAAACTGGAGCAAACTGGGGGCAACAGCTAACACCCTGTGCCGCCCTCATCTTACTGATCTGAATGCGGGCGCCCCCTTGGGAACTCAGTTTTTTCAGGGAGGGATAATATTTGGCCCCAGATCCCTTTTAGACTTCAGTTTCCCGTCCTCGTTCAGATTTTAAACTACTTATTGAGCCAGTCAGGTGCCTTTTCCCTTTCCCCAACCCCCTACTCCCTGCAGAGACAGTGTTGTGGTCACCTGCGCTCTCCTTTCTGGAGGCAAGCAGTCAGGCGGCAGTGAAGAGCTACCAGGCAGAAACTTCTGAGCACGTAAAAATGACTGCCTCTAGCACTGAAGATTTCAGGGTATGTTTCCACCTATAAAAAGAAGACATTGTGAGATCCTTGTACAGGAGCCCAAGGGTGAACTTAGGAAGGGTGGAAAGGGAAGTATTCGCCTGAAAAATAAACTTGTTAATAAAACATAAAATAGGAATGTGTCTTGTGCAAATGGGTTTCAGCCCTGACCCCACCCTGCCCCTAACTCCTAGGAGTGCCCAGGTCTGAGAGCAAGGTCGGGGTAGTGATGCAACAACTTCATCACACAGGTGAGGACCCAGAATAATGGGCTTGGCTGGTACCAGCCCTGGGATCAAGCAAAAAGAGGGTAAGCAAAGTTGTAAAACCCTCGGTAATGCCAGCAGTCAGGGGCATGGGTCTGGTGCCAGACATGAAGAGGGCAATAAGCCAAGGACAGGGATAAAGGGACAGAGGAAAGAAGAGAGACATGGAAGGGAGGTGCAAATACCAGGTCACATAGTACACAGCAAGCTGAAATCAAAGGAAGACTATTGTTAACAATGGCTCCTTAATCAAATCCCTCATTATGCCACACACTGTACCAAGGTGTCAAAAGTTTTGGAGAGGTAGGGAGGTGTAGCAGAAGTCCCTGCAGCCACAGTGTTGTGCTGTGGGAAAGGGAGACAGAGATTCTGCGTACCTGAGGTCACTGCTGTGCGGAGACTCCAGGGTGAAGCCACCATCACCATGTCTCATCAGAAAGCAAAACCTTCAACTGAGGATTTGGGGGATAAGAAAGCAGAAAATACATTAAACTAAAAGTCACTGGACAGGATAGCAGTGAGATTCACTTCAAAGTGAAAATGACAACACATCTCAAGAATCTTCATACTGTCATAGACAGAAAGTTCCAATGAATTCACTCAAGTTTCTCTTTGAAGGTCAGAGAATTGCTTACAAGTCAGATGAGTATTATCCAAATGGTTAGGGTGACTTTATGTCCTGGTGTGCCTAGGGTAATCCCAGGAGACACCTGATGTCCCAGAATGTATGATGGGCCAGCTCTGGGGTGAGTGACCCCAGGTGAAGGCTCCCTTTCTTAAAGGAGGAGTAAGCTGATTTTCCCAGGATGACAGGTACTTATCTCTAAGGAAAGAAAAGGATCAGATTGGAATGCAAATGAGCCAAGGAAAGTGCTGAGGCTAACTGATGCCACTAGGAGGAGTAGGGGACATCAGGAAGGATGGAAGAGACCACTTCCAGAGCCTCAACAGTGCTACCCAGACTCCCATAGTGTAGAACATTCGTCTTACCATTTCAGACAGAAAAACCAAGGATGAGGAAGGCTCACTTCTGTTCATTTTCATGCCCTTTGGGAGAAGCTGTTTTGTGTTTCTGAGAACCATGCTTGCCTGGTGCTGGAACTTTGAGAGGTATTAAGAATATGCCCCCATGGTAGTATGGCTGTTATTCACAGTATGCCAATAAGTAGCTGGGAGCAGGGCCAGTCCTAAAACAGTCTTTGCCTTGTGCCAGTTACTTCCTATGGATTCCAGCCATGTATCCCTGTTCAAAGGCCAGGATGGCAGCGGGAACATGCCAACTGACTTTGGAACCCTTTCTCACAAAACAAACAAACCAAAAAACCCGAATGGTTGAAAGACCTTCTGTACATAGACAGTATTTTAAAAGACATCAACATGACCACTGGTGATTCAAGATTGACAATTATTTTTAACCCATACCGTGTGGTAGTTAGCACATGAATGACCAATCAAAACCGCACACATACTCTAGCTATTGTGAACTGAGCTGCTATAAACATTGATGTGACTGCATCACTATACTATGCAGATTTTAAGTCCTTGGGTATAAACAAATGATTTTTCTCCAATAGAGTGGTTCTCACAAAGAGATGTGAGTATTGTAGGGACAATCCCACTACTGTGGGGACTGAAAATGAGATGCTATCCTGCTCTGCTCTCTGAAATTGTCAAACTGGTACCCTCAGACCACTAAGTTCTGGAGGGCTGGCATACAGCATGGTGGCCATGCTTACAAACCTCATACACTATCATCTGGCTAAGAGAATAGACCGTAAGTGTTCGCACCATGCACAAAGGGTTGCACATCCAAAACGCAACTTTGCAAGGCGTTGCATGGGGTGATTACCTTGACTGTGTTGAATACTGCACCGGGATGTCAAGGGGCCAGGTGGCAAAGGGATGACAAAGGGGCCAGACTGCCTCACTGGGGAGCTGTGAGTCAGTCGAGATCCATTTCATTCCGTGATGCCATCAGCAAGGAAAGTGCGCGGGACAGTGGTCAAACAACCAGCAGCCCATGGTGTAGAACCAGAGAAGAGGGCGGACAGCCTTGAAGCTGTGTGCTGTATGCCAGCCCTCCAGAACTTCAGTCCAGTTCCTAACAGGAACTCATTGCTTTCTGAAACTTCGTGAGCATGGTACCGGTTCCTATTGGGTGTTGATTTTATATCCTATTACTTTTCTGCATTCATTTACTAGTTCTAGAAGTTTTCTGGGAGAGTTTTTGGGTCTTCTAGGTGTAGAATCATATCATCATTAGCAAATATTGCTAATTTAAGTTCTTCTTTTCCTATAGTTCTTCTTTTCCTATATATATTACTTTGATTTCATTTGTCTGCCTAATTCCTCTGGCCAGTGTTTCAAGAACTATATTGAATAGAAGTGGTGATAGGGGGGGCATCCCTGTCTTGTTCCAGGTTTTAGAGGGAATGCCTTCAATTTTTCTCTATTTAGAATGATGGTGGCCTGAGGCTTAGCATAGATAGCCTTTACGATGTTGAGATATGTTCCTATTATCCCTAGTTTTTCTAGTGTTTTGAATATAAAGGGGTGCTATATTTTGTCAAATGATTTTTCTGCATCTATTGAGATGATCATATGATTCTTATCTTTAAGTCTATTGATGTGATGAATTACATTTATTGATTTCCGTATGTTGAACCAACCTTGCATCCCTGAGTTGAATCCCACTTGATCATGGTGCACAATCTTTTTGATATGTTTTTGTATTTGATTTGCTAGAATTTTATTGAGAATCTTTGCATCTATGTTCATTAGAGATATTGGTCTGCAGTTTTCTTTCTTTGATGTGTCTTTGACTGGTTTTGGGATCAGGGTGATATTGGCCTCATAGAACCCCTGCTTTTTATTAAGCAAGTTACAAAATTATTATAGCAAGAACAACTGGGAATAAACACAACTGATTCTTGGTAATAATATCTATCTTATGCAGTATAAAGAATAAAGCATGAATCCCAACTACTTGGTAAGCACACAACCATTAGAACATGGGGGAATGCATGTGTCTCACAGTATTGTAGCTATGAGCATTAAATGTGTCATGGGAACCATTCAGTACATATGTGTGTTCGTGGGGGGATAAATGGCATGAGATGGATAAGTATCTGTATTAACTAGCATCCTCATCTTTTATGATCTCTTACCATCTCATTATTGCTCTAAAGTAGAAGCATGGAATATTAGTTTTTTAGGATTATAACAAAGTACCACAGACTAGGTGACTTAGAAGGACATAAACTTATTGTCTCACAGTACTGGTACCTAGAAATCCAAATTCCAGGTGTCCAAAGGGTTAGTTCCTTCTGAAATTTCTAAGGGAGAATCTGTTGTATGTTTCTTTCCTAACTTCTATACTTGCCAGCAACCTTTAGTATCCCTGACTTGTGGAAACATTAGACCAACACCTGCCTCTGTCTTCACATGGTGTTTCCTCTCCTCATTTTAAAGATTGGAAGCATGGCCCTTTTAATAAGATGGATGTGGGGTGTGAATGCAATCTCAGGCAAATTCATCTAACTTCTCTGAGCTTCAGTTTCAAGGAAAAGGTTAACAGTAATATCTTCCTTGTCCTGGTTGTTATGAAGTGAGATACATTTCAGAAGACATAGAATAAATGGTGGTCACTGGAATTAAACTCAGGGTCAATGCAATAGCCTCTTTTTCTCTATCAAATTTGTATATTTTAGTACATAAGTGCATATAAATCTAGTGGCAAAAAGAGTATGATCATATTCAGAGAATTCTCAATTTATAAGCAAGATGTTAAGAGACCTAGATTCACCAGATATAGTGGTACAGGCCTGTAATCCCAGTAGCTCAGGAGGCTGAGGCAGGAGGATCTCAAGTC